AAACTGTTTGGAGAGCAAAGTATCCCCGTCCACTTTTGGCTCTTGGCTTGATGACTTCACATATGTCAGAATCTGTGCCAGATGAGACTTGTATGAATCTATTGCCATGTCAGCCCTTTGCAGGTCAGCCAATGCTCGTGCAATATAGTCAATGTCTTTCTTCTTAATAGTGGCCAATGCACGATTATAGAGAGGAATAATCTCCCAGCAAATACCGTCCCCCAAAGCTTTGGTGAACATCTCAATGCTTTCAGTAAGGCTGCCCTTCTCACGGAGATTGTTTCCAGACCTGATGTAATAGTAGACCATGGAGGATGGGGACTGTTTGCACAAAAGTTTTCGCTTTGCATTCGACAAGTCCAGCTTCAGCTGTTCCTTCATCATCTCAGTGGGCTTTTCCTCACTGGAGTTCATCAGGAGCCACAAACCCCAGCACTCATGAAGAGAGGACACGATTACATCACGCTGGTCTGAAAAAACATCATCTTCATAAACACCATTCAAAATTTCAAGGTAGACAGAGAAAAGATCTTCCTTTTTTGTGATTTTTGGAATGTCTTTTTCAAGAAACCCAGAGAGTCTGATGTTCACCAGAATATTTCTGGCATCTTTTGCCTTTTCTAGATTGCTTGATTGCTTTCGGAATGATTTCATTGTTAAGAGTCCTGTGAGAGCAGAGACCATTGCCTTATGACTTTGAAAGCTGTTATGCTGTTATGTGCGATTAACTGCTTCCTCAAAAAGACCCTCTGTGGATCCACGTGGCATCAATATACTTGTAAGACGTGACATCAGTGTAGTTGTAAGATGGTTCAGATGGCTGAATAAACTGGTAAAAGATGTGTTTAGGCTCATCACTAGTTTAAGAGAGTCAGAAAAATGGCTGGCACACATGATGATTTGAGCAGATCCTGGACTCCCTTGACGAGCCGTTCGTCCAAATGCTTGCTGTTCGACACGGACGTTCAGAGGTAAGAAGGTTTGCACCACAAACAGACCTCCAGCCTCATTTACACTTTCACTGACCTTTAGGTCTGTACCTCGACCTGCTAGATTAGTTGCAATGATGACGTCCCCTGCTTGAACTTTATTATATATTATCTTAGAGTTATCCATGTTGTTATTCACATAAAGTTTTAGTTTGTCTTTTGAAATGGTGTCTGCAAGAGTCTTGTGAAATATTTCTGCACGATTGATGGTTTCACAGATGACGAGAGCTGCTCGTGGACCTCGATAAACTGTGGAGGTCACTTGATGTTTAACAACATTACAGACGGTCCTGATCCACTCGTCTTCTTCAGCTATCACCAAACCCTCCAACTCATAAAGTTTCCTTCGTCTAAATGAGGGAATCTTACAGGTGTCAATTCCATTGTAGAGTTTCTTCAGCATGTCAAGCTCTGTTTGGTCACCCAAAGTGCCTGTGAGCCCATAGATCTTGTTTTTGTATTTCTTGAATAAACCCACATTAGACATGAAGTTTGTGATTAGAGTCATGTTAGACAGTTTAGTTTGGTGTTTCATCTCCAGAAACTGCTGAAGTCCTTCCCCCCATCGCATTTCATTCTGCACGACACCAGTTGAACTGTAATCGACAGGAGCGACTCCATCTCCATGAAGGACATATTCGTGGCCTAGAGTCAATTTTGTGGCTAGCAAAGCACTTCCAAACCAAGTTTGCATCTTGCCACTGATGAGATCTTCTAGGCCTGGGATACGAGATTCATTTTGTTCTTTCGCTGATTCAGGCTGATATGACTTTTGAATCTTTTTCCTTAATGATGGATCCATTGAGTCCTCCTCAAAGTGCACAACACGACATTTTCCATTTCCCAGTAGAAGAATAGATATTTCTTGTCTCTTATTTGTATCTGCAGGACTGATTTCATTCAGTCTCCTTAAAGTCCCATCAGGCGTTTCCTGGTATAATTTGAAGAAATACTCTGGTAAATTTCTCACAAGCATGTTTAGAAATGATACTTTTTGGTCAACACTTCCATTATCTAGTTGTTTTAGAACATTTTTCATGTTTTCTTGCATTTGCTTTGATGATTGTATAGGCTTAATTCCTGTGTCAACAGCCATCTGCACAATACTGTGTTGATCAATGTTTTTATTTTCAGTAATGATTTCAGACAGAAGTTGAGAGAGGAGCTGAATGGGGCCTAAA